GGTGATCGTGTAAATCAAATCACTGCATTACGTCCGTCCGGGGCTTCGACCGAAAATATTAGTGTTAAAGATTACATGGCCCCTACCGGAATTTACAGGACTGAACGTGAACATCGTGCATTAATGCCTTTATCGGAGGTGCGAAACAAAATAGCTGATGTGAACACTCCAATAAACATTGAGGATGAGATTCGCCAGATAAAAAACAAATTTTTGGACGTGAATTTTGAAAAGGTAAGATACACTACTGTCATTATCGTTGTTGTTTAAGGAGCAATTGAAATGAGATAGAATGGTTCACAAAATAGGTCAATCCAAATGGATGCACATTCACCCTTCACGGACCCGAGAGAGGCTCTGCGTTCATACGCGTCAACATTTCATTCCCTGAGGGATATCCTCGTAATAAAGCAAAGTTCAAAGTTCCAGAGACAGGAATGACGTCTATAATGACCAGGACTCATATTAGACAAGATCTTGACAAACTGGCGACATTTTGTTCGACTCAGGGAAAGCCGTGTCTGGAAGTTTGCATACGTTTCCTACTAGGACAAAGACAAGATTTTCAAGATCGATATGGAATGGACGACTCTGATGAAGAGAATCTTTTACATGCCGACAGAAAATTTTTCAAAAACGACCTTTATATGATGATAGGGGAGAAGGAGGATCATTTAGTCCCTTTCCCGATATTGTGTGGAGCGCGATTTTCAACGAATGGTTAAAGTTACTATGTTTCTATGAATGCGTGAATGAGTTTATTGGAAATAAAATGATTAAATTACGGTTTTCTCATTGTAGGCAAGCTTGTATGCTTCTTTTCGAGTCTCAAATCTCGAGGCAACAATATATCGAGCGACTGGTCATTCACTCATCCTCAAGCTTACGATACATGGGAGCAATATAAAAAGTTAATGTTGACACTTCCAAAACCTGCACCCTATGACAATGATGATGATCCAGATGATTTCCATGCACTCTACTTTACGGCAAAGGTAAACGAGAGCTGTCAATGATTCGAATAGGCACTCAAATCCGCCTGACTTAATTAATCTTTAAAATAAACATAGGCAGGAGTACACGATAGCACTTCTTTATTCGAACCCTCCAAATCTAAGGAGGGTGGTGTTTATGTTGTCGAATCATCGGAGGTCATGCCCGTCAATTATGAACTTGCCACAAAATACACGTGGGCATATATCTTATCGTGCAAAGTTATCTTTTCTTTTTCTTTTATAAGCAAATTAATCATTATTTTTAATAATCGATAGGCTTAACGGAAATGATGCTGTCGAGATTTGTGAATACAATGCGCGAGTAGCTGCAAAGCATAACCGTCCAGATTTAGAGCAAGCTTGG